AGTGGTGGACTTGGCAGTGCTGGGTTAACGATTGGACTTGATGATCTCAGAGTTCTTTTTCAACCTAAACAATTCTATGATACTCTCCAAAAGCAGTTTCAGGAAAAATCACCATTGTGGCTCAGCGTGGACAGCGGTGGAGCTGGTGATGCTGAAAACCCTGGAGAGCTTCTGGCAGTGGCAGCAAGATCATTAGGAAACATTTAATTAACTGAAAATGTGGGAATTGTGAAGGATTTCAGCACAGGAGATAAGGCTGGAAGGGACTGCAAAGGTTTGGGACAGCTTTAGTTCTCTCCTTTCTCCTGGCTCCCGTCTGCTGCAAGTCTGCAGATCTAGGGAATTTTATCAATCTGCTTCAATAAAAAAGCAAGTAAGAGAGGGAGAGGCTTGCAGTTACTGCAGATCTTGCTTGGAAGCAAGAGCTTTATCACAGTCACAGCTCTCCCTATCCATCCACATTTTACACCATTTCCAATTCACTGCCAGGTATAAAAGAAAGCCTAAACCTTGGCCACGCATCTCCATGGCTGTAGCAGTGCTGGAAACCTGAACCCCCCAAAGCCTTCCTGCCCTTTTCCTCTTTGGCCTGTGTTTTGTCTCATCAAACAAGTTGAAATTTGTGCAGCGATGGCGCAAGATGCCGGGGTTGTGATCCTGGAGAGCAGAGACGCTGGGGTCTTGCCATTGAAGGACATGGGCATTTTTTGGAAGAGGAGATTATTTTACAGTCAAATGAACCAGAAATAAAGTGCTTTGGTGGGATTGAGATGATGAGATCAGGTTTAAAAGCTGAAAGGTATAAGCAGGACTTGCAGGTCCCTGTTTTTCCACAACATTTTTGATGCTTTCAGCTGGACTTCTCGCTGTGGCCTCTTCGCAGACATGGCTGCGCGTTTTCTTGGCACTGGAAGGGCTTTTCATTCATTTTATGGCACAGCTTCAGGTCTGGCGACGTGTGAGGGCGTTGCGAAATGGCCCACGGCATTTCCTCGAAACGCTCCCAGAAATTTCGCCACCGCCTTGAGAGGAGGCTGAGAAACGACGTGCTCAGCACATGTGTGGCCACAGCTTCACTCATGTCCTCATGGGTACAGCGGCTGTAGCTCTTCAGGGTGTCCTGATGCCAGGGGAGACGGCACCGACCGCCCGAGCACTGAAACGCAGCAGACTGCCCCTGGGATGTTCTGGAGATGCGTAACAAATTGGGGCAGGAGATTTCTAAGATGGAGATTTTTCTCTCTGGATGTTTTGGGTGCCTGGGGGACAATGTTGTCTTCCTGTCTCCACTGCCACTGTGATCCCATCCTCATCCTCATCATGCTCCCATCCCCGGCAGGCTCCTGTCCCGTCACCGGTGCATTCCCATCCCTATTGTGCTCCTGTCCTCGAGGCCATTGCACTCCCGTCCCCACTGTGCTCCCACCATCATCCCGCCCCTGATCCCAGCCTGACTGTGCACCCCTCCATACCAAACGTGCATCATCCCAGCTGGGCATTGCTTCATCCGTGCCAGGCATCGATCCCTCTGTGCTGTGCATCACATCCCAACCACCGATCGCTCCATCCCGTCCCTGCATTGCTCCATCCCGGCCGTGCATCGCATTCTGGCCACGCGTCACTCCATCCCAGCCGTGGACCACTCCAGCCTGGCTGTATATTGCTTTATTCCCACTGCGCATCTCTCCATCCCGGCGCTGGAGCATCACCTCTCCGCTCGCATCGGGGGACAGGAGGTGGCAGCAGCCGGGGGCACGGATGAGCCGTTCCCACACTGCGGCGGGGGTCCAGGTGCGGGAACAGCATTGCGGCAGCCAAGAAACTTTCTCCATTGCACAAGAAAAAGAAGTGAAATTGAAACACCCTCTTGTAAAACTGACCTCAAACCAAGGCCAAAGGGGAAGCACGAGCCCTTCTGGGGATAAGAAAAGCCGTAACTCATAGCTCATCACCACCCCACTGCCCGGCCACCCGACACTCAGATTTCAGCCACCTCCGGGGCTGTGGGCTGCAGCCTTTGGTGGTGAAAAAACTCTGGGAAGTGGCTGGAGGACTCGCGCAGCACCTGGAATTTTTCATCCAGCTGCAAAATAAGTGGAGAAAAAAAGGGGCGGCGAGCACAGCCGAAACGCAGCAACTGGTGGTGGGATGCAGCCGGGGCTGCTGGCCTGGGATGGTCATGGTGGGGGATGAAATTCCGTGAAAAGCCTTCAGCGTCCAGAGGAGCTGCTACAAGTGACCGTAAACATGCTGGAAACGGAGCTTTCCCCTTCTCCACCCCGTCACAGGCACAGCCATCCCACCGCTGTCTTTCTGCAGGCTGGGTGAGGCTCTCCCAGCCCCAGGGCAGCATCAGTTCCCCACATCCACCCGCAGGCAGGATTTGACCCCCTTGGGTGCTGTTCAGCACAGCAAGCCGGGGCAAGAGGGTGCCTAATTTTCCTGTTGCTATCTCCATCTTTTTTTTTTTCTCTACCCCGCCTCCAGTGCCAGCACGATGCAGCCACCCCAAGGACGTGGCCAACGCGCACATTGATGTGGGCAACAACACGCTGCTCAACGCCCGCCTGCGCTACACCTGCAACCCGGGCTACAAGCGCAAAGCCGGTACCTCCAGCCTCATCCAGTGCATCCTCCGCGATGGCTCCACCGAGCCCGACTGGACCCACACCACGCTGCAATGCATCCGTAAGCCCTCGCTCAGCAGCCGGGACACGATGGGGACCGGGGAAGGTGGGACACCCCCATCACTGGCATGGCGGGAGAGGATATGGGGTGGCGTGGGTGCTGTTGTCGATGGTGTCTCTGTGTTGTGTCTTCCCCAAGGGGACCCGGCTCTACCTCCGCTAGCCCCCAGCCCTGAGCTCCCGACCACGCCGCACACCGAGAGGACGACCCGGAGGGGTGAGAAAGGGGCAAATGCATCCCATGGGGGTTGGCCTGGGGCCGTTGTGACCGTGGTCACAGCAAAACCACGAACACTGTGGTGTGGAAAGCAAAATATTACCATGGCGTGATCAAATTAATTCCATTCTGTGAAATTATGCCATTTTGTACCTGCTGGATGGGCTGTATTGCTCTCGCCACAACCTGCCCAAAGCAGGCACGAAGCTGAGCACTGAAATAATGGCGTTGCCTGGAGTATGCCTTTTAATTTTTTAAAATAAGAGGTTTTACACCATTTTCCCCAGCAGGAACCACCAAGACCAGCCTGACCTCCAGCCCCTCTGCAGCAACAACGCCTGGGCCGCCGGGAGCTGCCGGCTGGTCACCCGTGCCACCGGTACCTGATGGGCCATCGCTGGAGACACCAATGCCACCAGAGATGCCCCCACCACTGGAAACATCCACACCAGGAGAGGGCACATCCCTGGGGACAACCCCACTGTCCACCGCCCCCCCAGACCATGCCGCAGGTCAGGCCGCCTCTCCAGGGGAGATGAGAACAGGGCTGCATTTCAACCAGCGAAAGCTCTTTTACTTTTTCAATGCCTTTTTCCTTTCTCTCCAACTCTCTTTTTAGTGAGGGTCCCCCCAGCATCCCCCCTTTCCCTGGCTTTGCAGCTAAACTTCCATTTCTCTCTTCTTTTCCAGTTTCCATCCAGACACTGGCCTCTTCCATTGGTAAGCTGGGCAAAAAGCTTATTTTGGCAAGCAGGGGCTTATTTTATTTTCTTAGCTTAAAAGCCCTTTTCGGGGCTGTGGAAGGATTATGCCAAGGGGGGAAGGATGCAGCACCCAAATTTCTTCCCGGGGTGGGGAGGGCACCTTGTGAACATGTTCAAAGCATTTTTGTCTCTTTGCGAAGTCGTTTTGCTTGAGCCAGGCCGCGCGTTGTAAGATACTTATCGGCTGCCGTGTCCCTCCCGCAGGGCTCCCGGTGCTGGTGGTCGCTGGCGTCGTGGCCTGCTGCTGCTGGAGGATGAAAACGTAAGTGTGCCGAACCCCATGAAGTACTTCCACCCTGGTGATGAGTTGTCCTCGGTCTCTGTGCTTTCCTGAAAGCTGGGGAAAACCCCTCGGGTGCCAGTGATGTTCCTCTCCCCTCCATAGGCGGGCAGGGCAGGGCTACGCGGCAGCGGTGATGGCCATCCCCATGGTGGCTCCTGCTGCTGAGAACGAGGAGATGTTGCCGCCCGGCATCTTCCCCACGGGCTGAGCACCCACTGCCGGGCAACTCGGTGCACCCGCCAGTCCAGAGGATGCTCCGGGCTCGTATGGAAAGCCGGATGCTTCCTTGAGTGGCAGCCGTGGTGTGGCAGAGCGCGTCCCAGTCCCCAGCCGCCCTCCGCACGGAGCATCCTCGCCCCAGGGACACGGCAGCTGCTCTTCCCAGCCTGAACAAGTGACTCCCGTGGATGAGACCGCTCCAGCACCCAAAGGTGCGCGCGTAACCCATTGCGCGGCTGAATGGTGGGTGGTGCGGAGGCCATGGGTGCCCTGCGTTGGGAGCCAGAATTCAGAGGAGGGGGTCCTAGCGGGTGGCAGGGAGCGGCTGAGGGCTACCTGCCCCAGCAGAGGGAGTTTGGGGTGCAGGGGATGGGGTTTGGGTGGTGGAGGTGAGGCTGAGCTGCCCTGCCTCAAGTAGTGCCTGTTCCCTGGCCAGGAGCAAGGCCAGAGTTGGACCAGCTCCATCTCTAGAGCCGCTTTGCCCCAAAATTGCCCCAAAACCCAGAAAGCAGCGCTGCCTGTGGCAGACGGAGGGAGACCCAGCTGAGCATCCCTCCGCCACCACCTCACCCGCTTCCTCCCGCTCTCTTTCCGCCATTCCCCAGGGGGCCGCGGCACGTCGCACGCACTTCGCACGCGGCCTCGCACACGCATCACACGGCCTCGCATGGGCATCACACCACCTCACCCGCTTCCTCCTGCTCTCTTTCAGCCATTCGCCAGTGAGCCTGCAACTGCAGCGAAGGGTGCCGGCACCATTGTGCCACGGTTGCGGGTGTTGGCTCTTGTACACGGCTCACGGATCCTTCGGAGGCACTTTTGGCACCGACCCCAGGTGCTCACCAGCTCCGGCCGCTCGCCGGGGACCATGAGCAGGAGCAATTTCACTACAGACACCGTGAAAGACAGAAGGCAGTAACACGACCTAGGAGATATTTCCCTTAGCAGCTTTTCCCTTTGTCCGCTGTCAAGTCATTATCCACTCATTTCCTCCTTGTTACAGAACAGGCAGCTTTGTATTGATGCTGGTTTTATGTATAAATATGTATATATTGTATATAAAATAATGCACACACAGAGAGGTTCATTTTTTTTGTACGGTTGGGTGTCTCAGCGGCCGTGATGGTGAGGAGGAGAGCGGGGAGGGATGGGAGCTGGGCTGGGGTGAAATCCACCTCCGCAGCAGCGCGGGCTCGCCGGCCACCAGTATTGCTGTCCTCTAGAGGCAAAGGGTGACGGCAAGGTGGCAGCTGCCATCACATGGCTGGATGGCAAAAGGATTTTTAAGTCAGCTGGAAACCAGTAGATATCTAAAAACTTAACTTCTGCATCCTTTTCGTGCTGCTGTCTTTTGTCCTCCTGTTTGTGCCACTTCTCTGGACCATGGGAGCTGGAGGAAGCAGCACTTTGGATGTGTGATGGACCAAACCCTCCTGCAGCGACACCGCTTCTCCCCAGCATCCCATGGGATGGTCGGGAAACAGGTGAAGCTGGAAAGGGATCCCTGGAGCCGCCTGGTCCAACGTCTGCGCTGAGCTTTGCCATTACATCCAGCGTCCAAATCTTAGGTGAACTTCTGCCCGCGCTTAGGGAAAGCCTTTCTGGAGTTGGTGCTTCGAAAATGAAAGGAGAGCCAGCGAAGCAGCTACCATTCAATTAATAACCATGGAAATAACAGGATGCACGAGCTTCCTCCAGCAGGCATTGCTTACGGCTCCAGGCCCACATCCAAGAGCAGATCTGTTCTGAAATCCGTTTTGGTTTTGATCTCCGCATGACACAGGCTCTGGTACAACCAGCCACAGTGTTTTCAAACGGAGAAAACATCATCTGATTTACAAGACCACCATGCTGCTTGCACCATTGCTACTGGAACAGCTGGTAAAAATACAATTTTTTTTTTTTTTTAAACCTAGTGATTCTTTGATTCTAAATGCAACCCAGGATGACTTCTTAAGAGAAGGAGAGAGAAAAAAGAAAGCATTAAGGCTTTTTTTGTTGTTGTTACAAATTTAATTTCAGCATTAAAAATGCTCTCCAGTTTGTCTCTGAATTAGACTGAAACCAAACCAAAGCAATTCTTCAGACGCTGTCTCTCTTCCCTTATGGTTTGCTGCAGGGAGAAGGGAAACAGAGCCTGGGGAAACCCCTCTGCTGCAAGTAAGGAAAATTAATTCAGCTTCCTCCCAGAGCTGACAGTGAAATTTTCCCCATTAAAACAGGCTCCAGGAAAAAGTCCACTTTCTATGAATCAAGTGTTTCTTTGGATACTTTTCAGCGTTGCATTTCCTGGTCTTCTGGTGGATCAGACGGATTTCACCGAGGCATGGCATGATGGAATAGGTGAGAAAACCCTGGCAGTTTGGTCACTGGAGGTGTTTTCCTGGTGACAGAACTAACAGAGGTGTAATGCTCAAAGAAAAAAAAGCCACCCTGTCCAATACAGTTTATATAGTGCATATTCTTCTGTGCAGAGACACAGGCCATGCCCACCAGCTCTTGGAGGGCAAGGCAGGGCTGGATAAGAGGTTGACACCTCCTTGCAGAGAGCCTGGAGGGTTCCTCTTGGAATTGGTCTGAAATCTGGCTCCAATATCCACCTGATTTTGGAGCTGGGATGTGACAACAGGCCTTGTCCAGCACCCAGAACGGCTCCAGGGCGCAGTGAGGGGTCTGAGGAGTTGGAGGGCTTCGTTAGAGCTGGATGGGCTGCTCCTGAAGCGCTGGGAAGAAGGTGAGTGGTGTCAGAGAGCCAAAGCGCTGCTGCGTGCAAGCATGGCAAAGGTAGCCACCTGCATCCCTGCTGCCATTGCTCTGCGGGGGAAAGAGGAGATTTGAGAGAAGAGGAGGAAGGCTGGAGGAACACAACCTCTGCTTCCAGCCTCGGACGCAACCCCCTCACATCCAGGGAAGAGAGCAACGATGTGCCCAAAGCATCTCCTGCCACCTCCCTCGCCAGGCGATCCCTTATGGGACAGCTTGTTTAATAGCTGCAACAACCAAAATGTTGCTGTGCAGGTCTTTGCTGGTGAAGGACGAGATTTTCCCCATCTCAGTGATCATGTCCCCTGCTGACAGCTCAGAGCCATCTGCTATGTCTTGTGGACATGGAGCTCCACCAAATTTACTGTGTGCTTGCAGATCCCAGCGCTAGGGAAACTTGGCCTTCACCACACCTTCTGGGAAAGGATGAACCCCAGAGCCAGAAGGTGGGACCGAAGCCAAAATTGGACCCAAAAGTCAGATTGTCACTTCCAGCCAGCTGGCAGGGGTGAGAGGTGCTCTGCTAACCTCAGCTGGATGTTCGATGGCCTCGGCAGAGGCTCTGGGAGTCAGAAACGGGATCTGACACAACAAAACCCCAAAACCATCCCCTCCTGAAACCACAATTAGTCTCAGAAGAGAGGTGAAGGTTTGAGTGGATCTGTGGGAACTGCAATACCACCCTGAATCATGCGGTTGGGAAGTCACCCCCAGTTACGAGCTGGGGTTGTGAGCAGAAACAAAGGGCCGGGGGAGCTGTGGGCACAAGATCCAGCTACGGGACGTTCCTTGCTCACTTCCACTGAAGTTTAGCACTGAGGTTGTCCCTCCCCAGTGTGATAGCTCAGAACAGTCACAGAGCACAGCCGCTCCCCAAGTGACCGGAGCGGCTTGTGAAGGTTCCCGAGTCAGAAACGTGATCTCAGAGGCCCAGGGAAGGGACCTACGTGAGTCAAAGGGAGCTTCTTCACAACCAGCGGGGAGCCGGATTGCAGAGTTCCCCTGCACTGTGGCACAGAACAGGCGACGGCAGCCCCGTCCTTCGCAGCCTCGCTCATCAGCTCCACCCGAAGGAAACGCTCCTAAGAAACAAGAAACAAAGGCAACAACACGGAACAACACTCGGAGGGAGCCGAGATACTGGAACAGGTTGTTTTGTTCTTTTTTTTTTTAAACCCCTTGGGAAGTGAATTGCAACATGATGTTTGGGGTTTTTTTAATAAACAAAAAAAAAAACAACTCCAAGCCCCTGGCCACAACAAAAATCAGGCAGAAGCCTGCAGCAGCTCACAAGAAGTGAAGTAAGAGCTGGTAATTGCTGCAGACAGAGAAAAGGGAACCTACACGCTTGCACTAAGAAGTCAGGATCTGTGGAAGACAACACCCAAATGCAAGGGCTGTGGAAAAAACAACGCTGCAACCGTGTGTCTTGCTACTGAAATCATGGTGCAGAGCAGCGTGAACTGAGGAAAAAATGTGACCTCAGCTATTCCGGTCTATGCCAGCAGAAGCCAAGGCATAGTCCACGCTCAGCCGGAATCTTAGGATCAGGGTAAATCTTATGATAATCTTTTATGCTCTTCTACCACACACATACACACCCTCCAAACATCATGGAGATGTGCAGATTTTATGGGTAGTGGGTGCTGCCTCTCCCGGCGCCTTTTTTAATTGGCAGTAGCCCATCCTGCCCAAGACATCATCGCTTGCAGAGCTGCCTCAAGACTCCAAATCCTAGCGGGACAGTGGCGTGCCTGGGAGTTTGCCCTCCCCGGCTGTCTGCTCAGCCTCTGGAGCGCTGAGGAACTCCTCAGCTGAGGAACTGCTGCAGCTCACAGGCAGGGCTGCTCAGACAGATCGCACCGGACGATGGCTTGCTTCGGTGCAGCGTGCTATGAGGTGCATTGTCCCACTTGAGGATTTGCTTACCTTGGAAAGATTTCACTTACCCCAGCCAATGCTAAAAGGTGTTCCAGGGACTTTGACATTAGCAAATACTTCTTTGCGCGCGTTACTGCTACATAGAGAAGGTTCCATTCATCCTCAGGATACATGCCTAGGTTGGAGGAAAGATCATCAATGGCTTTAGATAACAAGAATGAACAGCTTTGCCATTCTTCTGGTATTTCTGGAAGGACACTTGGTGCTTCTCTGGGAGAGCATGAACTTGCGGACCAGCACTCTCCTGCATTTGCTGTACAGTTGCTGACACCAGCGATAGCTCCT